GGAGCCTCTTCGGCCATCTTGGAGGCCTCTGGGGCTGTCTTGGCGCCCTCTGGGGCCGTTGTGAGCGCTCTTGGAGGCCTCTTGGGCCGTGTTGGGGCGATCCTGGAAGCCTCTCGGGCCGTCTTGGAGCGCCGGTAGGCCCCCAAGGCGAGAACGCCAACAACTTTCAAACATGGAAAGGAAATCGCTAATTTCTGCCTCTGTGGAGCCTCTTGGGAGGTTTCTTGAGGCCTCTTTGGGCCTCTTGGGGCCTCCAGGGAACCTCGCTGCGCCTGGACCTTGAAATGTCGGTCCCTCGTCTGGGTCCGCTCTTGGAGCCGTATTGGGAGCCTCTTCGGCCATCTTGGAGGCCTCGGGGGCTGTCTTGGGGCCCTCTGGGGCAGTTGTGGGCGTTCTTGGAGGCCTCTTGGGCCGTGTTGGGGCGATCCTGGAAGCCTCTTGCGCCATCTTGGAGCGCCGGGAAGCTCCCAGGGCGAGAACGTCAAGAACCTTCAACAAATGAAGGGAAATCAATAATTTCTGCCTCTGTGGAGCCTCTTGGGATGTATCTTGAAGGCCTCTGGGGGTGTCTTGCAGGCGCTCTGGGCTGTCTGGAGGCCATCTTTGGCGTCTTGGATCGCTCCTGGGCCGTCTCGGGCCATGTTGAGCTCTCTTGGAGGTCACTTGAAGCGCTTCTGGAACGCTCTTGGGAGCCTGCTGGGACCTGGCCGGGATCTGGCCTGGCCGGGATCTGGCCAGGACTTGCGAGGGTACTTTTCGTCCGGGGACCCCCAGGGGCGGCCCCGCGCGCGCGAACTAGAATATTGTTAACCAGTCACCGGAGATCTCAGCACGCCCTTCCGGCGAATTTCCCGCTGATGTGTGTGTGTGTGTGTGTGTGTGCGTGGCTTCTTGGCGCTAGTCAGCAGCTCAGTTCCGCTGCCATGAGCTCCAGCGTGTCGGTGGACTTCTTCTTCTTGAGGCTTGCCAATGGCGGGTTGCTGCCTACCTTCAGCACATCACCATGTGATTCTGCACGAGAAAGTGGGCCTCTGATGTCAATGGCGTGGCGTGCTGCTCTGGTCGGCGGCGGCTCTTCATCAATTGGCGCGTGGGCCTCGCCTTCTTCCCAACTCTGCTGGTGACTGGGCAGCTGTTCCGTGGCTTGGCGTCTTCAACATGTGATATTGTATGTGGTTGGCTTGGCTGAGTGCCTGAGGGCGCAGCTTCCTGGTATCAGCTTCGCGGGGCCAGTTTGGGTGGCGTTCGGCTTCTTCGTATGCTGAAGCATGAGCTTCGACTTCCTACAGCCTGGGGGGAGGTGTGGTCTGCTTGACCTATCCTTCCTAGACGCGTTGAAGGCATTGAAGAAAGACGAGGGCAAGAAGGACGAGGAGGAGCACAGCGTAGAGAGGGGGAAGGTCGTCCTCATCCTAAGAGGGCAGCAGGTTCTTGCCTGCCGCGCATCTCGAGGAAGAAGGACGAGGAGGAGGAGGCGGAGGAGGAGGAGGAGAAGGAGGACGAACATGAGGACGACGACCCGACGGAGGGGGTCCCTGAAAGTCTCGGGAGGTCCCTGAGGGTTCCGCAGGTCCCTGGATGCCTCACAGACGCATCTGGCTGCCCGAGGTGAAGTCTCAAGCGCCCAAAACCTGGACCTTCGATCCGCCGACGACGGCAATGACGTTCACGACGACGACCAGCGCAGCCAAGAAGGTGGAGGAAGAGGACGAGGAGGAGGAGGAGGAGGAAGAGGAGGAGGAAGAGGCGGAGGAGGAGGAGGAGGAGGAGGAGGAGGAGGAGGAGGAGGAGGAGGAGGAGGAGGAGGAGGAATCTATTCACTACCCAAAAGGGGGGAGTGGGCGGTCAGGAAGGGAAAGGGGCGCAAGAGGGGCAGGGCGAGGAGGAGGAGGGGGCGCGTGGCCGAAAGGCGAGTACGATGACTGGTTGCCCTCTCGGGAAGGTGGGGCTCACCGCGCAGACGGATCTCGAACGCTTATGTAGAAGACGAACCAGGCGAGGAGGAACATGCCCGAAGAGCCAGCGGCGATGACCAGGCAGCGCACAACGAGGAAATCGCCGTAAAGCACCTGTGGCCGACATCTGGACCGGGAGGTGCAACTGTTGAGGGCCGGCCCCGAGGCAGGTGGTGCTGGACGAAATTCTGCACTCCTGGGGCTTCGGTATTGGGCCCGTCGTCGACAGGCCCTCGCCCGATGATCTGCAACATCGTAGATAGGATCATGAATTTCTTCAGTCTCGGCTTGGTCAGCAATGTGGTCCCATCGCGGTCATTCATGGGCTTCGCCGTCGGGCCGATCCGTCGAAGGCTGGCGCTGCGTGGCACACTGCGCCCTCCTCTGCGGCATATTCGTCCTCTGTTTTACGCCCAACGGGATGCACAACTGCACATCCAGGTCGATCGCACCGCCACCCAAACATGCACACACGATCGGCGAAGCCAGAATAAGCGGGTGCCGTGCTCGGGGCTGACGGAAAACGGCGGCGGTAAGCCTGCGCAATAGTGCCAGACGCCAGAATGCCTGACACCTCAACTTTTGCCTGGAGCGGCTCCGGTCGGGAAGGGGACTCCGCCGCCTGTTCAGCGAGTTTCTGGCCAACCCTCCCGCCGATGCCTTCGACCAGCGGGGTGTTGGCATCTGCCACAGCGCTCGGAACAATTTCCCTGATCTCGGGGGCGCGCACACATGGATTAGCGATCCATGGCTTTGGCGCGCGGTCGCCAAATCCATGGATCGGGGGAGGCGCCCTCCCCAAAATGCGGCCGGTGCCGCCTCGTTCGGCGGCGGAAATCCGCGATTCCCCATGGAAACAAGACCCGTCGCTAATCCACGCCCTCTTAATCCATGTTTGCGGTCGCCTGATGATAGTGGTCGGAACGATCTCGACGATCAATCTCAGGCGTCGGCATGTGCCCCCCAAATGAGTGAATAGGGGCCTCCAGGGCGCAAGTGCGGTTGTTCAGCTCGGGTCTCCCCTCCTCGACCGCACAGCCTGACAACAAAGGGAAGCACACGCAGAAGGCGAGGGAGGCGTGGAAGCGGACGACGATGGAGCAGCATCCCCCCAGGACGCCCTGGAGCTTCGCAGCCGACGAGCTCTGCGCCTCCACCAGCCTTGGGTACAACTCCACATGATCTCATCCTACTTGACCTGTGCCACGGCCGGCATTGCAAGAACTGAAACGACTGCAGCCGAAGGTCGTGTGCAACGAACTGCTGTTGCGAACGCCCGGCAGGCACCGGATGGCGCGATGCAAGCTCGGGGGTTTCGCTGCGCACAGAGGGGGGCGAAGCGACAAGATGAGCACGACCTCCTTCATGCAACTGGCGAACACTGCCTTGCCATCGTGGGGCACGTGCTCGAACATTGGAGCCCTGACAGCCCGTGCGCAGCTCGGCCTCCAGCTGCTCAGAGAAGTCGGTCTCCCACGGATCTGAGAAGCAGCGCAGATACTGATGAGTAATGCCGATCTGCTGAAGGTGACAGCGGACACGGGCAGAAATAATGTGTCGACACCCATGCACAAATTTATGTAATCCCACATGGTGCTCGCCAAAAACATCCGTGACGAACCCTAGCGCCCGGGTGGCGATGCAAGATGCATGACCGCACGCCGACTCACTGCTGCCATGACATGTTACCATAACAAACACTCAGGCTATAATGCAGTAGCTCAGCTGGGGGATGATACGACTAAGCGCCGTCTTGAGCCGCAAAGGTCATGGAGGAGGGGGATGAGGAGGAGAAGGAGGAGGAGGAGGAGGAGAAGGAGGAGGAGGAGGAGGTGGAGGAATAACTCCGAACGCCCCCGAACATCGCAAAACCCCAGCTAAAGCACTCGAGAACCACGACGCCGACGGCGGTTTCTGAAAGTCTCGGGAGGCCCCTTGGGGGGCCTTGGACATCTTAGGAGGCCCGTCGGAGGCTCCCGACGCCGAAACGCGACAAACACTGCCCAAGACCTGTGCATTCGAATCTCGAATGACAACGACGACGACGGTTACCTCCCCCAGCTAGGACGAAGGAAGAGAAGAAGGAGGGGATGCGGAGGGAGGAGGACGGATGAAGGAAGAGGTGAGGAAGGAGGAAGGATACAAGAGAAGGGATACAACAAAGATGAAGGAACGAGGAGGGTGGCGGAAGAACGAGGAGGAGGATGAGGAGGGCGGGAGGACGGGGAGGAGGAGGAGGAGGCAGGGATGATGATGATGATGATGATGATGATGATGATAATGATGATGATGATGATGCTGATGATGATGATGAGGATGATGATGATGATGAAGATGAAAATGAAGATACTGATGATGCTGATGCTGATGCTGATGCTGATGATGATGCTGATGCTGATGCTGCTGCTGCTGATGATGATGATGATGATGATACTGATGATGCTGATGATGATGGTGATGATGATGATGATGATGATGATGATGATGATGATGATGATGAGAGGAGGAGAAAGAGGGGTACAGGATGAAGGATGGATGAGGACTGGCAAGCGACAATGCTGTGCGTTCTGTTGCCGCAACTCAGCCAAGCCGCGGAGGGAAGAAGGAGGGAGCGACAATAAGGGGAGGAAAAAGGAGGAGGAGGCGGAGCAGGAGGAGCAGGAGGAGGAGGAGAAGGAGGAGGAGGAGGAGGAGGAGGAGGAGGAGGAGGAGTAGGAGGAGGAGGAGGAGGAAGGATGGATATATGCCCAGACATGCGATGCTATGATTTTTTCCACATGCAGTCCCTGGCAAGTCCCGACCCTGTCCCCAGGGCCAGTTTTTCACCCCGAATCGTTCTGTTGACGGTCCCGAGGCCCAGCGAAGGGCTCCTGGAAGCCGAACGCGGCCGAAAACCCACCGCCGCGACTTTGTGACGATGCGGGCATGTCTGGCTTAGAAGCGACGCCGACGCCGACGCCGACGCCGACGACGCCGACGACGACGCCGCCGACGCCGACGCCGACGCCGACGCCGACGCCCCCGACGACGACGCCCCGGCGCCGCCAGGAATGCGCCCGCCGTGCGCGGCGCACGGCGCGGCGCCGGAAGGCCGCCGCCGCCAGCGGGCCCCGGCGGCGCCGCCGCGGTGGCCGCCGCGCGCCCGCGGTGGCCGCCGAGGGCGGGCGGGCCGAGGTGCGCCTCGGCCGGCGGCGAAGGCGGTGGCGGCTGCGACGGCGCCGACGACGCCGCCACCGTTCCTCCTCACCTCCTCGTCCTCCTCCCGCCCTCCTCCTCCTTCTCCTCCTCCTCCTCCTCCACCTCCTAGTCCTCCACCTCCTCGTCCTCCTCCCGCCCTCCTCCTCCTTCTCCTCATCCCTCCACCTCCTCCTCCTCCTCCACCTCCTCCTCCACCTGCTCCTCCTCCTGGAGCACACCCTGAGCCCCAGGAAATCCACACTTGACATGGAGGGCGCTCGCTCCCCATGAAGCCCCAGAATCTGCGCACGACCGCGTCGGAGTAAACCAAGGACGACTTTGTCCTCCAACGCCGCGTGGAGAAGGGGGGGAGGGGGGGGAGAGTGTAGAAGGGGAGGGCGGGGGAAGAGGGGGGACGAGAGAGGAGGCAGAGGATACGACCACGATGGTGATAATGACGATGACGATGATACAACAGGAGCTCGACCACAAGAAACCTTCCACAAGAAACCCAACACTGAGACCCCAAGACGTCCATTGTTTTTTGGTGTGGGAACGTCACGCTTTCCATAGCAACACCATCGAAACCCAATACACCCAGGGCACCCTGGAGGCAAACAACATTTTTCTTGGCATGGTATTCCGCTGAAGTGATGATGGGGGTGGTAACGGCAATGATGCTCATGATGCTGCTGCTGATGGTAATTCGTCGGTGTTGATGATGACGGTGGGAAAAGAAGATGAACGAGGAGGAAGAGGAGGAAAAACTGACAGACGATCATGTACGCGCGGGAGCGCGGTCCACGTAAAGACGAACGAGGAGGAAGAGGAGGACCTCCAGGGGGCAACGTCTTAACGACACTAATGCCGCACGCACGCACACACGCACTCACCCACGCACAGACACACACACACACACCCACGCACGCACGCACGCACGCACAACACACACAACACACAACACACAACACAACACACACAACCAACAAACACGACACACACAACACAACACACACCACACACAACACACAACACCCACAACACACAACACGCACAACACGCACAACACGCGCACACAACTCGCACAACAAGCACTTCAAGCACAACAACACGCACAACACGCACAACACGCACACCACGCACACCACGCACATCACGCACAACACGCGCAACACGCACAACACGCTCAACACGCACAACACGCACACAACCCACAACGTACACAACACACACACACACGGCACACACACATCACACAACACACAACAAACATCACAGACACCACAGACAACACACAACACACAACACACACAACACACAACACACAACACACAACATACGCAACACCCACCACACATAACACACAACCCACAACGCGCAACGCACAACACACACAACACAGACAACACAGACAACACACACAACACACACAACGCACACAACACACAACGCGCACAAAACGCACAACACGCACAACCCGCACAACACGCACACCACGCACAGTACGCACAACACGCACAACAAGCACAACAACACGCACACCACGCACAACACGCACACCACGCACACCACGCACACCAAGCACACCACGCACAAAACGCACAACATGCACAACACGCACAACACGCACAACACCCACACCACACAACACACACAACATGCATACACACAACACACAACACACAGAACACACACACAACACGGACAACACACAACACACATAACACACAACACACACAGCACACACAGCGCACACACAACTCACAACACAGACAAAACACACACACACAACACACAACACACAACAAACACAAAACACAACACACAGCATACACAACAGACACCACACACAAACACACACAAACACACACAAACACACACAAGCACACAAGCACACAAGCACACAAGCACACACACAAACACACACACACACACACACGCACACGCACACGCACACGCACGCGCACGCGCACACGCACACGCACACGCACACGCATACACACACGCACACACAACACACACAACATACGCACAACACACAACACACAACATACAACACACACAACACACACACATTCACACACTCACGCACTCACACACTCTCACTCTCACACACTTTCGCACACACACGCACACACGCACGCACACACTCACGCACACACGGCAGGAATAACAACTTTCGACGGCCCGTACGGATTTATTGGATTTGCGCCAGGCCTCTTCCCTGGCGCGCGGAACGCGCCAGGGGCGGCGCCAGAGGTGCCGCCAGGGGGGCTCCAGTGCCGATCCAAGAAACCGGCGCGGACCTCCGAAGGTTTATGGTTATGCGGATGTTTGTTCCTCGAGAGGGGGGAGTATAGGTCGGCCCAGAGAGCCACGATGTTCATACCCGCCCCCCCCCGGGGACAGAGCCCGTGATGCACGGCGGAACGCTCCCCAGATGCACGCGTGTGCGCCATGACGGCTGCACACAACTTGAGAGAAGAGCGACAAACCGACAACGACCAACGACCAACGATCAACCGTCAACGATGGCGATAATGACGCCAACGGCAACGATCTCGTTATCGTCATCGCTGGAGAAGGCGACGTGTGCCAGGGAGGGGAAGCGCAGCCCGGGCTGCCCCAGGCGCAGAGGCGGACGTCGACACATCCGGTCCGCAGGGCCGCCCGCGGCCGCCCGCGGGCGCCGTGGCGGGCTCCGCGCGGCGGGCCCTCGCCGCCAGGGCACCCGTCGCCGAGCAGGCCCGGGGGCCCCCCCGGGTCGAGGCTGGGGTCTCGACGCCTCCGGCGACGAGGGGTATTGCCCTGTGTGCACTTCGCGCGTCCGCTGCCCACACCCGCGGGGGTGGAGCAACGCTCGTGGGCATGGTGCGGGGGCTCCCTCGCGCTGTCGATGCTCTGCTCTCCTAGGGCTTTGTAGCGTCGTCCGCACCTTGCTTCTGCATGTCCGATCTCCGCAGCTGCCTGCACGCCCTCCTGTGACCAGCTGCGTTCTTGCTCTTATGGGCACTGCGCAGGCCTGGTGAAAGCTTGAGAGGTCCCTTCCAATGTGTGAGGCGTCTGGTAAAACAAGCACGTGAAGAGGACTTTCGCCCAGGCGGGGCTCGTCTTCTCCACCTCTTCCGAGCATCGCCCAAGGGGGGTTGCTCGGGGGAGGGGGGGGGGGATTGGCCGCCGTCGGTCGCCCGCTCTCGCCGCGTGCCTGCCGCAGCGGGGGGGCGCCCGGGCCCGCCCTGGGACAGCGCCGCACCCCCCCGCCCAGTCGGGCCCCGGGGGCGCCGTGGCAGAAAGATTGCGGCGTGCTCGCTGCACTCATGTGCGTCTGGGTGAGGAGCGAACTGTGGCAGGGACCTCGAGGCCGCCGAGCTCTCAGAGGGACCTCTGGCCAGAAATCCCCTGATACGGTCAATCCGTATCATAAGGAGGCGCGGTAAGGATGCAAAGGCCTTGGAAGGCCGTTTGAAGCTTTTCGAGCGGGATGCGGCCAACGAAAGAGGCCAAGTGTGGACCGAGGAGGCAAGGACGCAAGGGTACCCTTGGGAAGGTTGCCCATCCTTACTATGCGGGCTGACTGTAAGGACCTGTGCGCGATGCTCCCTCATGGGAGCGGCGACTCCTCCTCCCTCCTCCTTCTCCTCCTCCTCCTCTTCCATTCCTTTTCCTTATAAATAACTTCTCCCTGTCGCACCCCGAAGCCAATTCTTAGGGGGGGCGGGCGTTTCGCCTGAGACTTCCTCACCATGTACGACCCTGAAGCTTAAAACATTTGACAACAGTTTCACACATGGAGGGCGGGTCGTTTTCAAAATGTGGCTCTCGCCATAGCGCCGCATACATTCGTTTTACACATGCGCGAGAGTTCCACGGATTGAGGGCGGTTCCTTTTCAAAATGTGGCTCTCGCCTCAGCGCCGCGCACATCCGTTTTAAACATTGCAAGAGGTTCACGGGTTGAGGGCGGTTCCTTTTCAACAAGTGGCTCTCGCCTTAGCGTGGCGCACTGAATTGCACGGGTTTCACGGATTGAGGGCGGTTCCTTTTCAAAATGTGGCTCTCGCCTGAGCGCGGCGCGCATTCGCTTTAACAAATTGCAAAGTGTTCCACGGATTCCCATCATCAACGTGCCAGGAATTGTGTTTCGAGAGGATTCAGGATCATGCTGGTGCAATAGTTATGTTGATCCGCTGTGTTGAAGTCGCAAGAATGGCATTCTGGCGCGATTCAGGATTGTCAGGACGCAACATTCAAGTTGACCCGTGGCGTTAGAATCCCGAGAACAATGTTTTGGCATGCTCCGGGGTCTTCAAGCGGTTGTCTTCCAAAGAGGAAGTTCCTTCAATGGCAATGAACTGTTGTAAGGGCCTACGCAGAGGGCGGGAGTAAGGAGGAAGGTTTATTCCAACATCTTTGATGCCTCTTGGGTTTACACTGGTCCTCCTCCTCCTCCCTCCTCCTCTTTCTCCTCGTCCTCCTCCTCCTCCTCCTCCTCCTCCTCCTCCTCCATTCATGTCCCTTACACATAACTTCTCCCCGTCGCACCCCGAAGCCAATTTTTAGGGCGGTCCGGGCGTTTCGCCTGAGACTTCCTCACCATTTAAGACCCTGAAGCTGAAACGTTCACAACAATTTCACAGATGGAGGACGGGTCGTTTTCAAACTGTCGCTCTCGCCTCAGCGCCGCGCACATTCGTTGTAACAAATTTCAAGAGCTTCACGGAGTGAGGGCGGTTCCTTTTCAAAATGTGGCTCTCGCCTAGGCGCCGCGCACATGTGTTTTTTGTTAAACAAATGCAAGCGTTTCACGGACTCCTATGGTCAGCGTACCAGAAACTGTGTTTTGGAAGGATTCAGGATTATGAGGGTGCAACAGTTACGTTGATTCGCGGAGCTGAAGTCCCAAGAACGGAGTTATGGCACGAATCAGGATCGTCAAGACGCAACAATCAGGTTGATCCGTGGCGCGTGGCGCTGAAACCCGGGAGCGATGATTTGGCATTCATCGAGGTGTTCAAACGGTTGTCTTCCAACGAGGCAGTTCCCTCAGTGGAAATGAACCTTTATAAGGGGCCTGTGAAGAGCGAGCTTGGAGGGAGGGTTTGTTCCAACATCGTTGATGGTTCTTGGGTTTACACTTGTCCTCCTCCTCCTCCTCCTCTTTGTCCTCCTCCTCCGCCCCCCCTCCTCCTTCTCCTCCTCCTCCTCCTCCTTCTCCTTCTTCTTCTTCTCCTCCTCCTCCTCCTCACCCCTCTCCTCCTCCTCCTCCTCCTCCTCCTCCTCCTCCTCCTCCTCCCTCCTCCTCCTCCTCCTCCTCCTCACCCCCCTCCTCCTCCTCCCTCCTCCTCCTCCTCCTCCTTCTCCTCCTTCTCCTCCTCCTCCTTCTTTTCCTCCTCCTCCTCCCTCCTCCTCCAAGCGGTGCTCAAGCGGCCCCCTCCCCTCCGACGGGGGTCCGCCTCGCCCCGCCTGCGCACCACGGGCGGTGGCCTGGGCGCCATTCGGCGGCGGATGGCTGCCCGCGGCGGGGGTCTCGCTTTTGGGGCCGTCGGCGCCCCCCCTTTCTTGACACAGCAAGTTCGTGACGACTTGCGCGCTGGATTCTGGCACGGCGTGACTCGTTCAGCCTTGAACGATCGCGGCTCCTCGATCGTGCCGATCCTTCCAAACAGGCGGTTTCTGGGCCACCAGTGGCGCTCAACCTTGAACGCCCGCGGCGGCGTCGCCGCCCCGTCGGCACGGCGCGAATCTACCATGGCGACGATTGTGGAGCTCAAAGTTCAAGGGGCCCAAGGACACACAAATAAATACACACAAATAAACATATCCCCCATATTTTTCCATATTTTCTGGGTTTTTGTCTTCCCCACCACTTCCCATATTTTCCCATATTTTCCTGGGGATCGACGATTAATTGTGTCTGTGTGTTTTTTCCCCTCCTGAAAAGTGAAGTTTTCGCCCAGCGGTTCCACTGAGCCCTCATCTCTGCGGAGCTCTAGACCTGCAGGCCCCTTAGCAGAGGTCCCCTCAGCGGAAGCAACAGGCAAGGGGCACTGTGCATCAGATTCTCGGGGCCCTCCTCACGAGGTGGAGCCCCCCGATCCTCCAGGGCACCCCGCCCCAAAGCTCCAGGACTGCCCCCCCCCCCCCGAACCTCCAGGTACTTCTGAAAAGCCAAAGGGATCAACCGAAAAGCCACGACCCCCGGCGAGCCTGCTGGACGCCTGCCATCTTCCATCCTCCTCCCACCTCCTCCTTTGATCCTTTTCGCTTCAGTCCTGTTCCTTGTAGGTAGCTGCTCCCCTGTCGCACCCCGAGGCCGGTCGGAAGGGCGGACCAGGCCGGTCGTTTCGCCTGAGAATCCCCCCATCACTTATGACCCTGATGCTTAAGCATTAACAGCAATTCCACATATCGAGGGCGGGTAGTTTTCAAAATGTGGCTCTCGCCTTAGCGCCGCGCACATTCTTTTTCAAGGCACGCAGCAGTTTCGCAGACTGAGGGCGGGCCGTTTTCAAACTGTGGCTCTCGCCTTAGCGCCGCGCACTTTCGTTTACCAACATTTGCAAAACAAGCGGATTGAGGGAGGGTGGCTTTCAATATGTGGCTCTAGCCTTAGTGCCGCGCGTATTCTTTTAAACAAAATGCAAAAAATTCACGGATTGAAGGCGGTTCCTTTTCAATATGTGGCTCTCGCCTCAGCGCCGCGCACATTCGCTTTCCAAAATTTGCAAGAGTTTCACGGATTGCGGGCGGGTTGTTTTCAACATGTGGCTCTCGCCTTCGCGCCGCACACCTGTGTTGCAAACCATTGCAAGAGCTTCGTGGATTGAGGGCGGGTGGTTTGAACATGTGTCTCTCGTCATAGCGCGCGCACGTTCCGTTAAACATTTGCAAGAGTTTCACTGGTTCTCATGGGTGACGTGCAAGAAGCGGTGTTTTGAAACAATTTACGATTGTCAGGGCGCAACAGTTACGTTGATTCGCGGTGTTGGAGTCCAAGGAATGGTGTTCTTTCGCGATTCAGGATCGCCAAGACGTAACAATCAGGTTAACTCTTGGCGTTGAAATCCTGCGAATGGTGTTTTGGCACGCTTCAGAATGTTCATACAAGTGTCCTCCAACGGGGCAATTCCCGTCAGTGGAAATGACCCGTTGTAGGGGCCCGCGAAGAGGGATCTTGGAGTGAGGATGTATTTGAACATCGTTGATGAGTCTTGGGTTTACACTGATCCTCCTTCTCGTTCTCCTCCTCCTCCTCGACCTTCTCCTCCTCCTCCTCCTCCACCTCCTTCTCCTCCTCCTCCTCCTCCCTCCCTCCCTCCCTCCCTCCCTCCCTCCCTCCCCTTCCGCTCCTCCTCCCTCCTCTCCCCCCCTCCTCTGGGGCCCAAACCTCGGACAGGCCGCCTGCCCGCGGGGTGCCCTGCAGTCCCGCGAAGTCGCCCAATCCTGGGGAGCCCCTCGCCGCCGCCAGCGCCGTCGCGGCTCCCGCTCCGGCCCGCTCCTCCTCGTGCTCCTCCCCCTCCTCGCCATCCTCCTGCCCCTCCTCCTCCTCCTCCTCCTCCTCCTCGTCGTCCTCGTCGTCCTCGTCGTCCTCCTCGTCGTCCTCGTCGTCGTCGTCGTCGTCGTCGTCGTCGTCGTCGTCGTCGTCCTTCCTCCTCCTCCCTCCTCCTCCTCCTCCTCCCCCTCCTCCTCCCCCTCCTCCTCCCTCTCTCCTCCCTCCTCCTCCTCCTCCTCCTCCTCCTCCTCATCCCATTTCCCCTTCTCCTCCTCCTCCTCCTCCCCCTCCTCCCCTCTCCTCCTCCTCCTCCTCCTCCTCCTCCTCCTCCTGCCCCTCTTGCCCTTCCTGCCCTCCCATGCTCGCTTTCCCCCTCTCCTCTTCACTTCCTCTTCGTCCTCCTCCGCTTCATCCTCCTCCTCCGCCTCCTCCTCCTCTCCCTCCTCCTCCCCCTACCCCTCCTTCTCTTCTTTCTCGCCCTCCTCCCTGTCTTCACCGGATATGTCACACCACCGCTGGACGGTGGCCGCGGGTGGTCAGGCGACAGGGGCCATGCTTGCCCCCTCGCATCGATTCGCGAAGTGCTTTGCGACTTCTGTTGTCGCCATTCTGCGCTTTCCTTCACATTCTCCACTCCTCCCGCTCCTCATCCCATTCCGCCTTCTCCGCCCCCTCTTCTTCCTCCTCCTCCTCCTCCTCCTCCTCCTCCTCCTCTTCCTCCTCCCCACTCCTCCCCCCCTTCCCTCCCGTCGCCGTCGCCATCGCCGTCGTCATCGTCGCCCGCGCGCTCACCCTCGCCCTCGCCTTCTCCCTCGCCCTCGCAGTCGCCGTCGCCGTCGTCGTCGTCGTCGTCGTCGTCGTCGTCGTCGTCGTCGCTGTTGTCACCGCGGTCGCCGTGTTCGTTGTTGGCGTCGTCGACAGACATTAAGACTTTTAGGTCTCCCATTTCAATGTGCGAGATTCTGCCCTCGCGCACTAGTGAAACCACAAGGGAGCCATCTGGTTTATATTCCCCCTCAGAACCCGCATTATCATCTCACCACGCGGTTCATCCGTGTTGACGCAGCATGCGCCGCCACGCGAGCGAGTCAACATCCGTCCCGAGCCAGGGTGTTCGAGGCATCTCAAAATAGAGCTCTTCAGACATACATGAAAACATATGGTTTTTCAGCAAAAGGTTTGCCAAGGTTCTTGGACTTCCGCGCGCGCACTTCCTCACCATCACCCTCACCAACGCCGCCGCATCACGTCATCGTCATCGGCAAACGCCGCAAATGTCGTCATCATCACTCAAACACCTTCGTCATCGACACACGGGTATCATCATCGTAATCGGCGTTACCAGCATCGGCACCGTCATTTTGCCCTCGCCATCGTCGTCATCATCATCATCATCATCATCATCATCATCATCATAATCATCATCATCATCATCATCATCATCACCATCGATACTATAATCATCGTTGCCGCTGCTGTCGGCGTCATAGTGATACCGCGTCCGCCCGAGCCACCGACCCGCATTGAAGTGCCCGCGCGCGAGCGCGGTCTTTGACACCCGCTGGGACGTTGCCATCGGTAAGCGCCGTCGCGGCCGCATCGGTTGTGCTACACCAGCTGGCCGCTTTGCGCGCGAGCTTGCGCGCGCCAGCGCGGCCGCAGAGATGCGCCAGCCATGGCCAACCAGTCGTCGCAACCGCCGCCGAATGGGTGGGATGATTGCGTGCGAGGTTGGGTCGACATCTCATGAGTTGGCGGAAACTACTACTTACTTACAATGTACTCCAACGCGCCCTGGCCAGACGCGTTACACTCTGGAATGGCGCTCCCGCCCAGGATTTCCAAGCAACCCACTTGGGTTGGTGAAAGCCCAACTGCGACGACAACGGCTCCCGCTCGATACGATCTCGCAGTTTTCTCCTACGTGCCCTGGTCAGATGCGTTCTCGCACTCGGGAATAACGCTCCCGCCTCCCTCTTTTCTCGTTTCCATCTCCTCGCTGCCTCGCTCTCTGTCTCTCTGTCTCTCTCTGTCTCTCTCTCTCTCTGTCTCTGTCTCTCTCTCTCTCTCTCATTTTCTCTCTTTTTCCGACTCCCCTCCTCCACCAATCAAATTTCTGGGGCCGCACCAACTACCTGTGGCAAGCGACGGTCAAAATACCCGCACAGGGGGTACGATCCGAGACGAAGGGGGCGGGTGCCGAGGACTTGGGATATACATGTTGAAAAGCACGCGGGCAACGAAGAGCGAACAATCTAACACTGGTCGTCGTCGTCGTCATCGTCGCAGTCGTCGCTCGCGTCGTCGTCGGCGGCAGTGTCGTCGGCAACGTCATCGTCGTCGTCGTGTTCGTTATTGTCGTTGTCGTCGGAGACGGGATGGAAGTGGTGGGCGAGGCAAAAGACGCGGAATGTTTCAGGATACGTTGGAAGTTGTCGGGGCGCCAGGGGTGCGAAAAGGAGGAAGACGTCGAGGAAAAAGGGGAAGGTGGATGAGCTGTTTTCTTCTCTCTGGAACCTCCTTTCTCCTTTTTTATTATGATCATGATTCCTCACCCTCCTGACCCTTTCTCACCCTCCACTTACATTTCCTCCTGCTACCTTCTGCCATGCCCCTGGTACCCGTCTTACTGCAGCTGCTACTGCTGCTGCCGCTGTTGCTCCTCCTCCTACTCCCCCTCTCCTGCTCCCCCGCCCTTCTCCTCCACCTCCTCCTCCTCCTCATCGCCGCCTCTCTCCTCCCTCCTCCCTGCTCCCCCTTTCCCCTTCCACAGTTACACGATATGAATACTACTCTCCTCTCTCCCCCGGATATATGCTGAGAGTGTCCGCCCCCCCTCTCCGCGTAGTGTTTTTACACACGATGTGGGCGAAACGGTTCTTCTCACGTGTTTTTTCCAATCCGAACGATCTCGGTCCTTCCAACATCGTGCTTCCGCTGCAGCGCGGTCCTCACTTTAGGATCGCGGCTCTGCTCCCGTCGTTCAGAATGTCGCTCTCGCCCCAGCGCGGACAACATTTTTGTGGATCCGAATCCTTCCTCATCGCCGTCGCCCCCTCCTTTCCCCTCTTCTGCCTTCCCCGGGTCCTCCTGCTCGGCTCCTTCCACTCCAACTCCTGCTGCTGCTGTTCGTCCTCCTTCTCCTCCTCCCTGATGCTCCTCCTTTTCCTCCTGCTCATCCCCCTGCTCATGCGCCACCCCCTTCTCCTCCTCCTCCTCCTCCTCCTCCTCCTCCTCCTCCTCCGCAGCTCCCCTTTGTCCGATTGCGCCGCACAACGCAGTGGGGTCTTTTCTGGAATACCGGCCCGCTATGACACGTGTGCGCGAATAGAGAACAATCAATACAATGGGAAGGGATTGGAGGGAGGGGTCGGATGTCAGATGTGGCGCGAGCGCACCTGGCTTGTCTCTCCTAAATCTCTCCTCTCCCCTCTTTGCCCCCTCCCCCCTCCATCCTCCCTCCTCCCTCGGCGCTTGGGCGGGGCGTCGGGGTTCTTGGGGGAGCCGAATTACGCCAGGCCGTGGCCTTTCTGGGGGCTGCGCTGCAGCAGTGGCTGATGCCCCGTGGTCCTGGGACTGCACTACCTGGGCTTGTCCATGGGTGGGGCAACTTGGTCCTCGGGGCTTGGTCCCTCTCTGCCGTACGGTCCCACTGTGGGCGCCCTCCGCTTGTGCCCGACCGGGCTTAAAGGGATTGGGACCGGGGTCGCTCCGAAGGTGCGGGCCACCCGACTACGGGCTGCGGGGGTGGTGGTGGGCCCCGCTCAGTCTCACACTGCGCTCCCCACGCGGTGGTCGAGGGTGTGCCAGGGTCCCCGACCTCAGAGAGGCGGGAGGCTTGGGGCGGCCCGCGCGCGGCGTGATGGGAGGAGGAGGGGGAGGGGGAGGAGGAGGAGGAGGAGGAGGAGGAGGAGGAGGAGGAGGAGGAGGAGGAGGAGGGGGAGGAGGAGGAGGAGGAGGAGGAGGGGGAGGAGGAGAGGAGGAGGAAGGAGGAGGAGAGGAGGAGGAGGAGGAGGAGGAGGGAGGAGGAAGAGGAGGAGGAGGAGGAGGAGGAGGAGGAGGAGGAGGAGGAGAAGGAGGTGGAAGAGGAGGGAGGAGGAGCTGTAGTCGGAGGGCGCCAGGCACTCTACAGGCCTGGACGGGTTTGACGTTGTTTGTTTGTTTTGTTTGTTTGTTTTTTTCCTCCTTTTCCTACTCCAACTCATCTTCCTCCTCCTCTTCCCCTTCCTCCTCCTCCTCCTCCTCCTCCTCCTCCTCCTCTCCTCCTCCCTCCTCCTCCTCCTCTCCCTCTTTCTTTCATCTCCTCCTCCTCCTCCTCCTCCTCCTCCTTCTCTTCCTCCTCCCTCTCGACCGTTCTATTTCTAATTCTCCTAGGTCTGAGGGCCACGAAACGGTGGTATGCGCTGCTTTTTCTGCCTGAGGGCCAAGAAACGCTGTCATGCGTTTTTTTTTTTTTTTTTTTTTTTTTTTTTTTTTTTTTTTTTTTTTTTTTTTTTTTTTTTTTTTTTTTTTTTTTTTTTTCTGGTCCTCAAGCTCACGAAACGATGGTATGCGGTGTTTTTTGCCCACATCCTGAGTGGGGTTCTTGTTTTCCCAGAACATCCTCTCCTCCTCCTCCTCCTCCCGCTTCCTCCACCATCCCACACTGTATCATACCATACCAATACCATGCCACACCATACCATACCTTACCATACCATACCATGCATCCACCATCCCATACCATACCATGCCTTTCCTCACACCATGTTACTTATCAGGTTTCCTGCCCCTCCCACCCCTCCAGGGAGGCCCCGCCTGAGCGAGCAGGGTATTCGCACACCATGTTATTTATCAGGTTTCGCGCCCCTCCCACCCCTCCAGGGAGGCCCCGCCTGAGCGAGCAGTGTATTCGCACACCATGTTATTTATCAGGTTTCGCGCCCCTCCCACCCCTCCAGGGAGGCCCCGC